ATCGCCCAGTTCTTCGTGCTGGCCTGCATCGTGCTCGGCGGGGTGCCCTACGCCCAGGACGCCGTGACGTTTGTATTCCCCCGGGGAGGCCGGCGCCGCCGCGCTGGCCCGCCGGCAGGGTGTTTTTCGGGATCGCGTCCTGGGCAGCGCGGGTGCCCTGGGGAGGGTATGGGAGGGGTGCACAGTGGAGGAGGAGGAAGAGGAGGAGGAGGAGGAAGAAGAGGAGGAGAGGGGGGGGGGAGGGAAGGAGGAGAGGAGGAGGAGGAGGAGGAGAGGAAGAGGAGGATGAGGGTGAGGATGAGACGATGATGATGATGATGTGATGATGACGATGATGCTGCTGCTGCTGCTGATGATGATGATGCATGCTGCTGCTGCTGCTGCTGCTGCTGCTGGATGCTGATGATGATGAGGATGATGATGATGATATGATGATGATGATGATGAGATGGATGATGAGGATGAGGATGAGAGATGATGAGGATGATGAGGATGAGGAAAGTGGATGATGAGGATGAGGATGAGGATGAGGATGATGATGATGATGATGAACTGATGATGGGATGATATGAATGATGATGATGATGATGATGATGATGATGATGATGATGATGATGAGGAGGAGGAGGAGGAGGAGGAGGAGGAGGCGTATGCGCCCTCGGGGCGTGCCTCTCCGCGGGAGGACCTCAGCGCCAAGCGTCTGCTCACCTGCGGCTGCTGCTGCTGCTGCACTTTGCCCTCCATGCCCGTGTCCTACCTCGCCCTCCTCCTCCTCCTCCTCCTCCTCCTCCTCCTCCTCCTCCTCCTCCTCCTCCTCCTCCATCCCCAAAGTGTCCAGTCTTCTCGGGCGTGCCGCGTCCCGCGCGCGGCGTGGGCTCCCACGACTGCCATCGTCGACCGGCCCACGGACCGAGGGGGGGCAGCACGGTGCGGAGAGGGAGGGGCACGTGCAGAGGGGATGGGGGCGGTGAGGATCGGGCGAGGAGCGGGGATCGGGCGAGGATCGGGGCGGGGATCGGGCGAGGATCGGGGCGGGCGGGCGAGGATCGGGGCGGGATCGGGGCGGGATCGGGGCGGGATCGGGGCGGGATCGGGCGGGATCGGGGCGGGATCGGGCGGGATCGGGTGAGCGAGTTGGGCGAGGACCGGGGCGGGGCCTCCTGGGGCAACGCGTCGCGACGAGGGGTGGGCAGCGACCGTCCCGTCGGGGCGCCGCCTCGGCCGTGGGGGTGCCCGCCCGGGCGTGGCCTGAACGCCCACGGCCCGCCGAGGGCAAGGCGATTTGTTGGTCCTCGTATGCCAGTGTGCTCTCGGTGCCTCCCTATTTCCCCCTCGTCGCAGGGCCAACCCCGTCTCTTCAGGGGGCGGGCGAGCATCCAATCGGCGTTCGAGGCCTTCCTGCTTACTTCTGGACGCCCGAGATGGCTACCGAAAGAATGGGTACAATGCCCAACAGTTGTTCCTGTTCATTTTGAACAGGACTCGCTGTCCGCGCCGCCGCGGCCTGTGTCCGCTTGAGACAGAAGGCCGCCTGCCCAACGGCGGCCGCTGTTGGTTTGGGACAACATTTGTTGTAGGGCATTGTACCCATTCTTTCCGTACCCATTTCGGGTGTCCAAATTACTGTTTCTACCCACCTCGCCCGAGTAAGCCGGAACTCGGGTTTGCCGACGCTTTTTTGACGAGCGCGTCTTGGATTTTGACGGTCCAGTTTTCGTGGGATGTCTGCAGCGGGAGCTCGCGTCAAATTTCAGATTGGGCCTCGTCATTTTTTTGTAGGCCCCGTCGGGCCAACCCGAGTCCCCAGTACCCGAGTCTTACGTCTCCCCGTTTCTACCCACCTCGCCCGAGCGACGGAGGAGCGTGTGCCCAGACACCCGTGGGCCGCTTCGGGCTCCCCTCTCGGGGCCCTCTCGGGGCCCCTCCGTGGCCCCGAGAACCCCCGTTGGGTTGTCTCCTGGCCCACCCTGGGGGCCGCGGTCTACACCTTAGGCGATGCTCAAGAAAACTTGAGTTTTCGGCCAGAGTCTCGATTCTTCTTAACGTTTCGACGTAAATCCTAAGTTTTTCATAGAAATGTTGGGTTTCTCTTCAAGATCTGAGACTATGAATTCCTTAACCCATGATTTCTGAAGCATTTCGCCGTGGTCTAGGTCTTTCGGGGTCTTCCCGGGCCCCCTTTGGCCCTCAGATCCGAAGAGCCATGCGCCGCGCCGCGCCGAAGCGGGGCCCGGAGGGACTCCCGGCACGGCGCGGCGCACGGGTGCCGTTCTCCTAGAGAGAGAGGTGGGGCCCGCTCGCGCGCAGCGTCGCCCCCCCGCTCCTTCCAGGGAGCGCGGGGCGGGCGGGTTCGGGCCCTGCTCCGTCTTGGCTGGGATCGCCATCATCATAGCAGGCGTGGTTGAGCTGCGCGGCACGCTGTCGGTCTTCGGGAGGGAAGTCATCACCGACGCGCCGCCGATGCGATCCCGTCAGCGTGCTACTCCTTCGTTTTTGTCAGAAGGCCTTGTGCTTCGCCAGCAGTAACACTCTGATGGGGTCCCTACGGCGGCATGTCATTGAAATTGTTCTTGCTCCCCCAGGTCTGGGTCGTGCCGTCGTCCAGCGGCCAGCTCAAGACGGGCGGAATATTCGAGTACATACGACACCCGTTGTATCTCGGGGGGGTCGAGGATCGATAGGCATCGCTCGAGCCAGGAAACACAGCATAAGCACAGACTTTCGCAGATCAGCGCGGAATTCTTTGATCGGCGCTGGGCCACCCTGGCGGTGCCTCTGGCGCCGTCCTTGTCGCGCTTCTTGCACCAAGAAGGGGGTCCAGCGCCGATGCAACAAATGCACGCGGACCCCGAAGGTGTGTGTGTGTGTGTGTGTGTCGCCTTGTCTTCCAATGCCTCGAGCGGGGATCGAGGATCGATGAACATCGAGGCTCTTGGACGCTTCTCCCCAGACACTGCGCGCACGAAGAGAGATGTTTGCCTGTGTCTTGGTGAGTTGGAAGTAGCTGCTGGGATCTCTGGTGTCCGCCAGGGTGCCCGATGGGAGGTGCTCCAAGGTTGATGCCCAGCGATGCTGCAGTTGTCGCGACGATTGCTGATTGCCGCCCTATTGTCCTATGGCAAATGGACGGTGCCCCTATTGCCGGTGTCTCACGATGCCCCGATCGACGCGACCTCTGGTGGCACTGGTGATGCCACGGTTGTCGCGATTTCTTGCCCCCGCCTTGGGTGCACTATCGCTATCGCTATCGCTATCGGCTCGATGTCCAGTTGGACGCAGCCGTCCGCGCGGCCGAAGCTACGCGCGCGCGCCCGAGGCGCGTGGGGGGGGGGTCACCCCCCGACACATGCTCCCGCCAGAGGGGCGGGGGCCGAAAAGGACCGAGAAAACGGGCCCAGGAGTTTCGGGGACGAGGAAGGAGGAAGAGGGGGCTCATTAAAGGCCTCCTTGGGTGCACTGGGTGGTGCCCTGTGGCTGGGGTCCAGGATGGCCCCGCCTGTTGCGACTTTTGGCCGCCGCCCCGGTGCCCTCACGCGGGGTGCCCTGCTTGCTGGTGCCCTGCGCCCATGATGCCCCTCCTCCTCCTCCTCCTCCTCCTCCTCCTCCTCCTCCTCCTCCTCCTCCTCCTCCTCCTCCTCCTCCTCCTCCTCATCTTCCCCCTCCTCCTCCCCCTCCTCGATCCTTCCCCTCCGCCTCCTCCTCGAGCCTCCGCTCACCGACCCGCCTCCTCCTCCTCCTCCTCCTCCTTCTCCCCCCCAACTTTCGGCCCCACGAGTGGTGCCCTAGGCTCCACGCGTGTGGCAAGGTCGAGTGACGCTCCCAAGGGCACCCTTGCATCCTTGCCTGCTCGGCCCATCCCAGGCCAAGCTCTGGCTCAGAAAGCCCTTGGGCGGCCAAGGGGCTTGCATCCTTGCCGCGCATCCTCATGATGCGCGTCAACCCTATGGCTGCCTGCCCCCCGGCGCCCCAGAAGGTCGCGCGCTTTTTCTGGTCGCCGCCTGGGTGCCCTTCGGGGCGGGGGGTGCCCCACTGCTGGCGCCTTGTGGATGCCGCAGCTGTCGCAACTTTTTGGCTGCTGCCCTGTTGCCTCCAGGCTTGTGGACGACGATCAATGGAGAGGAAGCATGTGACCAAATAATTTCCAGATGTTAAGAAATGTTACCAAATGTCTTACACATGTTCACCGAACATGCTTTGAACATTTGTAGAACGTTCCCACATTTTAACCACATTTTTAACTCAATGATAGGATAGTTAGGGTTTCCATTGTCATGGCATCCGCAACTCCAGGCGGTGCCCTAATTGTTGCTGGCGCCCTGCAGTGAAGGCGTGCCTCAAGAAGCCAGATGCTTTTCGTCGGGGTACCCCAGGGTTTCTTCGCTCCGCGCGCTGCGCGGTGACTTCTCGCGGCCGTTGAGGAAGCTGCTGCGTTCAGGGTGCCCTGGGCTTCCCCCCAGTCGCACCTCTCGTGCGGCCTTCAGGGCTGGGTTTCTTGCGAGGGTTTCTTGCGGCCGCGTCCGCACTGTATGGTGCGTGAGCTGTGGTTGCCGCCCTGGTGCCCTCTAAGTGATGCCCTATGGTCAAGTCGGAAATCTACAGGAGGAGCATTCGAATGGTAAAACATAGTCTCGTGACGATTTTTCGTGCTCACATTTTCGCACAAAAAGTATTCTTGGACGATTTGAATTTTTTATCGATATCCGCCTGTAGGAAGACATGCCCGACCTAACCCCATAGGTGATGCTCTTTGGCTGGTGCCCCATGATGTTCATGGTGCCCTGAAGCCGGCACCCCGTTCTGTTGCAGTCTGCTGCTACCGCTTTGCATCGGGCAGGCTGTGCGCCACAGACCCCGCTCCACACGCTCGTGAAGCACGCCGGCAATCATGGGTGGGCCCCCTCTCGGGCCTCCAGGGGCCTCTGGAGGCCTCCAGTGGGACTTCCAGGGACCTCCGGGACTCCTCCTCCTCCTCCTCCTCCTCCTCCTCCTCCTCCATCTCTTCCCTCCTCCTCCTCCTCCTCCTCCTCCTCCTCCTCCTCCTCCCTCCTCCGCCTTCCTCCTCCTCCTCCTCCTCCTCTTCCTCTCCCTCCCCCTCGTCCTCGTCCTCCATTCCTTCTCCTTATGGATAGATAACTTCTCCCTGTCGCACCCCGAGGCCAGTTTATAGGGCGGGTCGGGCGTTTCGCCTTAGACTTCCTCGCCACTTATGACTCTGAAGCTTAAAACGTGGCAACAGTTTCACAGATGTGGGGCGGGTCATTTTCAAAATGTGGCTCTCGCTTTGGCGCCGCGCACATTCGTTTTCAAAATTTGCAAGAGCTTCACGGATTGAGGACGTGCCGTTTTCAAAATGTGGCTCTCGCCTCAGCGCCTCGCACATTCGTTTCAAAATTCGCAAGAGTTTCACGGATTGAGGGCGGGTCGTTTTCAAAATGTGGCTCTCGCCTCAGCGCCGCGCACATTCGTTTCAAAATTCGCAAGAGTTTCACGGATTCCCATGATGAACGTACCAGAAATTGTGTTTTGAAAGGATTCAGGATTATGCGGGCGCAACAATTATGTTGATTCGCGGTGTTGAAATCCCAAAAATGACGTTCTGGCACGATTCCGGATCGTCAAGACGTAGTAGTCAGGTTGATACGTGACGATGAAATCCCGAGAACAATGTTTTGGCACGCTTCAGGACACTCAAACGGTTGTCTTCCAACAAGGCAGTCTCCTCAATGGAAGTGAACCGTTGTAGGGGCCTGTAAGGAGGGAACTTGGAGGGAGGGTTGATTCCAACATCGTTGAGGATTCTTGGGTTTACACTGTTCCTCCTCCTCCTCCTCCTCCTCCTCCTCCTCCCTCCTCCTCCTCCTCCTCCTCCTCCTCCTCCTCCTCCTCCTCCTCCTCCTCCTCCCCCTCCTCCTCCTCCCCCTCCTCCTCCCCCCCCTCCTCCTCCTCGTCCTCTCCTCCTCCTCCTCCTCCTCCTCCTCCCCTCCCCCTCCTCCCCCTCCTCCTCCTCCTCCTCCTCCTCCTCCTCCTCCTCCTCCTCCTCCTCCTCCTCCTCCTCCTCCGGGAGGCCTCCGGAGACCTTCGGCGAGGTACCTGGGCCTCCTCGTTTCCAGCCTCGGCCTCTCCATCGCCACGGGCTCGGCCGCGCGCCTGGTGCTGACCCTTGTGCTGGCCGCGATCCTGGACCGCAAGGCCACGGAGGAGGAGCGGGCGCTCCGCGCGAAGTTCCCGGAGTACAGCGACTATTGTGAGAAGGTGCAGGCCTCGGGCGGGTGGTGATGTCATGGTGCTCCAGCATCGCAGAGCGGATCTCGCTCGAGAAACAGAGGGGGTGGGCCTGGGCTGTCCTGGAGAGTGTCGCTCTGGATTTCGAAGCGAGTTCAGTGCGTTTTTCTTGTGGGTCCGGAGTGAGCTACAACAACACACCACATGAACTTAATTTAGTTTTTCGCTCGCCGTTTCGGGCCTTGCGTTGACAGAAATCCACGCAAAAATCCTCGGCAGAACGTCTGCAAGGTCGGTGCAATGAGTAATGAGGGGTGGCCTACATGGGGGGTGGAGAAACTGGGCCTAAAAGGGCCCTTGATGGCTCCTGTTGGACCCTCATTGGCTCCAAGAGGGGCCCCAGAGGGCCCTTTAGTGCCCTTTTCTTCCCCCCCCAATTTATCAGGACGACAGATTTCGGGTTGGGAGGATGCGGCTGGGAGACATGAGGATATCATGACCCGTAGGCGGTCGGAGGTCTCGTGCACTGCATCCGGATGCTATGGCGCATGCCCTAAATCCGCCCGACCCCTTCCTCCACACTCGACAGTTGCTCTCCTCACTCTGGTGCCTATCTCTGAACCCCCCCTATATAGGTTACCCCCCGTTGCCGCCCGCCCCGCCCGAAGGCCACCTGCGCAGTCCACAGCCCGGACGGCAGGGCGCCCGAAGGGCGTGGGAAGGCCTTGCGAAATCCCCCGGAAGGACCTTCTGTCTGGACGCCCGAGATGGGCACGGAAAGAATGGGTACGATGCCCAACAGCGGATCCTGTTCATTCTGAACAAGATCCGCTGTCCACGCCGCCGCGGCCTGTGTCCATTCGAGACAGAAGGCCGCCTGCCCAACAGCGGCCGCTGTTGGTTTGGGACAACATTTGTTGTTGGGCATGGCACCCATTCTTTCGGTACCCACTTCGGGTGCCCAAATTCTGGAGAGCTTCCGGGCACGCGCAGTGGGCAACGCTTGGCAAGGGTCCTTCGGGACAGATCAGAAGGGCAAGCAGGGCGCACTCAGGTCGCTCCCCGTTGCCACCCGCACCGCCCGAAGGCCAAGATCTTCCCGTCGCTGGACCAGTTCGCCGAGAGGTACTCGTGAGCGCCTTCGGGTGCCGCTCGGGGCGGGGCGCGGCCCCCGCCGCGGGCCGCTCAGATCCCCCGCTGTGCCAGGAGGTCCCCTCCGCCTCCTCCTCCTCCTCCTCCCTCCTCCCTCCTCCTCCTCCCTCCTCCCTCCTCCCTCCTCCCTCCTCCCTCCTCCTCCCTCCCTCCTCCCTCCTCCTCCTCCTCCCTCCTCCCTCCTCCTCCCTCCTCCTCCTCCTCCTCCTCCTCCTCCTCCTCCTCCTCCTCCTCCCAATTACTCGGGCGGGGAACCCTCATGGCGTCCCACGGTGTTCCTAGCTTGCTACGGCATTCCGGGGTCCCTGGGCGTTCCGTCGAGCAAATCTTATCGGATCGTGGTAAGAAGCCGCGCAAGATGACGTTGTCTGGGCAGATATGACTTCTGGGACTTCTGCGAGTGAACAGGCGCGCCGCTTCCTGCTCGCACTGTGAATTGTTTTCCCTCGCGCCCTACATGGGCCCGCCCTTGTGGGAGCGGAGTGACTTGACTTGACTTGGGGTCCCTGGGGCTCTCTGGACCCTCGTGACGGGCGCTCTGGAGGCCCTATGTAAACCCTGGGGACGCATTCAGGTCAAGTATTCCCCCGGCAACGCCCACTCCACGGTGGATGTATTGCTGCCGACATCCAGGATCCACCCCTGCAGGCTCCTCCATGAGCAGACCCCCCCGTATACCTCTCCAGGAACAGACCCCTGCATGCCCCTCTGGGAGCAGATCCCCTGCGCAAGTCGCCCAATCCCCCCCCCGCCCCCCCTGACATCATCCGATGTGTCCTCTCAGTCCGCGGCCGCAGAGGTCCCGACCTCTTCCGCATAGCTTTTCGTCCCGCATCCGTTTTTCATGGCGTGGGGCCCGACAACGAACCCCGAGGGCCGAAATCGAGGACCGGTCAGAAGGTCAAGCCCCTGAAATTCCCAGGCGAGGCCATGCGCGATCACCTGGAGGCCGGTCTGGCCCAGGTGCGGAAACGCTTTGGGAAAACGCCCGGATCGGAACATTTATCCTGGCGAAGGACCCAACCATATGCAAGTGTGAGAACCCAGGACACGTGGGACGAAGAAAGGGGAATTTCCAATGGGGCCACGAACCGTGTGATGGGTGCGACCAAATTGGGCGGGGCCGCCATGAGAACCCTGCCATTGGGGCCTTCGGTGGAGCTCCCTGTGGGGCCACGAACCGTGAGAGGGGTGCGCCAAATTGGGGCGGGGCCGCCATGCGAACCCTGCCACTGGGGCCTTCGGTGGAGCCCCTTATGGGGTCACGAACCGTGTGAGGGGTGCGCCAAAATGGCGCGGGGCCGCCGTGCGAGCTCTGCCACCAGGACCTTCGGTGGAGCTCCCTGTGGGGCCACGAACCGCGTGAGGGGTGCGCCAAAATGGGGCGGGGCCGCCATGCGAACCCTGCCACCGGGGCCTTCGGTGGAGCCCCTTATGGGGTCACGAACCGTGTGAGGGGTGCGCCAAAATGGCGCGTGGCCGCCATGCAAACCCTGCCACTGGGGCCTTCGGTGGAGCCCCTTCTGGGGCCACGAACCGTGTGAGGGGTGCGCCAAAATGGCGCGGGGCCGCCGTGCGAGCTCTGCCACCAGGACCTTCGGTGGAGCTCCCTGTGGGGCCACGAACCGCGTGAGGGGTGCGCCAAAATGGGGCGGGGCCGCCATGCGAACCCTGCCACCGGGGCCTTCGGTGGAGCCCCTTATGGGGTCACGAACCGTGTGAGGGGTGCGCCAAAATGGCGCGTGGCCGCCATGCGAACCCTGCCACTGGGGCCTTCGGTGGAGCCCCTTCTGGGGCCACGAACCGCGTGAGGGGTGCACCAAAATGGCGCGGGGCCGCCATGCGAACCCTGCCACCAGGACCTTCGGTGGAGCTCCCTGTGGGGCCACGAGCCGCGTGAGGGGTGCGCCAAAATGGCGCGTGGCCGCCATGCGAACCCTGCCACTGGGGCCTTCGGTGGAGCCCCTTCTGGGGCCACGAACCGTGTGAGGGGTGCGCCAAAATGGCGCGGGGCCGCCGTGCGAGCTCTGCCACCAGGACCTTCGGTGGAGCTCCCTGTGGGGCCACGAGCCGCGTGAGGGGTGCGCCAAAATGGCGCGGGGCCGCCATGCGAACCCTGCCACTGGGGCCTTCGGTGGAGCTCCCTGTGGGGTCACGAACCGTGTGAGGGGTGCGCCAAAATGGCGCGGGGCCGCCGTGCGAACCCTGCCACTGGGGCCTTCGGTGGAGCTCCCTGTTGGGCCACGAACCGTGTGAGGGGTGCGCCAAAACGCTGTGCCGCCATGCGCACCCTGCCACTGGGGCCTTCGGTGGAGCTCCTTATGGGGCCACGAACCGCGTGAGGGGTGCGGCTCCCCGCGGGCAACCAGAAGCACCGCAAGACGGCCGAGACGTCGGCGAACAGCGATCTCTCCGGCGCCCCGCGCCCCGCTCGTCCGGCAAGATTGCCTGGCGCACCTATCACCACCCACCAGACCGCCCCAACCCAAGCCGAAGGCCCCAGTTTGCCCTCCATTTCCATTTGGGGGATGGGGGGGCAGGGAACATCGGCAAAAAGACACGTATGGAACCCGCACCCCCCCCCAACCCGAAGTTCGGGCCTTCGGGCTGGGTTGGGGTGGTCTGGCAAGCTGTCAATCTAGGCTTATGTCGGGCGTGTCCCCCTACAGGGGGATTTTCGACGAAAAAGAACCCAAAATACCCCAGAAAGGTGAGCAAATATTCAAAAAATAGTCCCCAGACTGTTTTTGGATTATTTTTTGACCATTTTTGGGGTGTCTTTTTTTGATAATTTTTCGTCGAAAATCCCCCGGTAGGCCGTCAACAAATGCTCTTCCAACCGCCGGTTAGATCTGAATCCATGTTGTTCCTCGGGTTGTTGCGACTCTAGGACGTGCTCGACGCGCCCCAGCAACATGTACGCAAACAGCTTGTAGAGCAGGCGGATGCTCGCTATCGGGCGAAAGTCGCCGACTGATTTGGCGTGTAATTTCTTTGCGAGCATAATGAAGATACTGGCGAGAAGACATTGGCGGCGAATTGCCCACTATGCATAGTGAGCTTGGACTTATCAAAAGCATTCGACCGAGTATCCTGGCCAGCGTTATGGGGGGCTCTTGGGCAGCTCGGTGTCAGCGACCATCTGATTTGGACAATGCACCGCTTGTATCGCGATCAAGAAGGGCAAGTCTTGGGCGATTGGGCGAAGAGCCAAACGTTTCCCATCAATGCAGGCGTTCGCCAAGGGTGCGTACTCAGCCCTGTACTTTTCGCAGCTGTTCTGGAGTGGGCCATGCGCGCTTGGAGAGCTCGCGTCGCAGACCTGGGATTTTCATATTGAAGACGGTTTACGGCCGCTCATAGATTTACGTTTCGCCGACGACATTCTATTGTTCGCCAAGACAGCGGGCAAAGCCAAACTGCTGCTGGACACACTGGTAGAGGAGTTGGCAAAAGTTGGATTGATTCTGAATGCGGCCAAGACGGTGGTAATGACAACAGAGGCGCAACCTCTGCCGCAAATCACCACGCGGGCCGGCGCGGAGATTCAAGTGTTGCCCCAGAGTGCCGCCCACAAGTGGTTGGGATGTTTGCTGGCAGTCGGTGGTTCTGAAACGCACCATATCATCTGGCATCCGCGAACGAAGGTTTCTTTGCAAACAGGGCCATATTATGCGACCGGAATGTTTCTCTTACTGCCCGCCTCGAGTTTTTCGGCCGCGTCGTAACGTCTGTGGCGTGCTTCGGGGCTTGTGTATGGAAGCCGTACGGGGACTCACTGCATAAAGTTGACGTGGAATTCAGGCGATTGTTGCGGCAAGTTGTTGGTCCGCCTGCCGGCGTGGACTGGTCGCAGCCTTGCATGAAATCTTACACTTCTGGCACGAGCGGCTCAATCAAGCATTGACCCAACATTGCATTCGCACGTGGTTGAGAGAACCCCTGAAGAAATATGAGGATTCTGCATATTATGTTGCGAATTTACCTCCGTAGCGATGGGTGCAGACAGCCTTGCGCTGGACACCGCCTGGGTCGCGCTCACAGGGTCGTCCTCTCATGTCGTGGGATGAGAAGCTGGTGGCTTTTTGCCGAGCGAATCACATTGGATCGTGGCAAGAAGCCGCGCAAGACGACGCTGCCTGGGCAGATATGACGGAGGACTTCTTGGATTTCTGCGAGGGAGCACGCCCGCCGCTTCGTGCTTGCACTGTAACTTGTTTTTCCCTCGCGCCCTATATGGGCCCGCCCTCGTGCGAGCGGGGTGACTAGAATTGACTTGAAATCCACCGGTAGGGGGACAGGCCCGACTTAAATCCAGGCGCACGCAGGGCTGCAGCGTTGCTTCGGCCCTGCTGGGCACGCTGCGGCGCGCGTGCCTGCGCGCGGCCGCTGCTTGCGGCGCTGCCCGAAGCGTCTGCCCGCGTCGGCTGCTCTCTGCGGCTGCCTCGGAGGCCCCGCGGCCCCGCGCCGGCGGGGGCCCTTCGCTTTCTCTCCTGCGGGCGGCTCCTCCTCCTCCTCCTTCTCCTCCTCCTCCTCCTCCTCCTCCTCCTCCTCCTCCCTCTCTCCTCCCTCCTCCTCCTCCTCCTCCTCCTCCTCCTCCTCCTCCTCCTCCTCCTCCTCCCCCTCCTCCCTCCCTCCCTCCTCCTCCTCCTCCTCCTCCTCCTCCTCCTCCTCCTCCTCCTCCTCCTTCTCCGCTCGCGAGCTTCCCTCGGCGAGCGAGCCGTCGGCGCACGCTCCGGCGCCGCCCCCCTCGGCCAAGTGAGCGTTCTCTAGAACAGCGGGTTGCCTCGCAGAGCGTGGCCTCCCTTCGGAGGGCACCAACTATACACCAACACCGATCCTGGCCCAGGATCACCCTGGGCCCAGGATCGGTGTATATGCATTCTTGTGCAAGGCAGGAGGGCGTATACACCGATCCTGGGCCCAGGGTGATCCTGGCCAGGATCGGTGTTGGTGTATAGTTGGTGCCTTCCTATCCCTCTCCCTTGTGTGCATCCTCCTCCGCCGCCCTTGGCTTGAGGCCGCTCTCAGAGCGGCCCCGGTA